AAAGGAAGATAAAATTTTAATAACTACAATAGGATCCCTAGCTTCTTTGGGCCACCATGTAGAGAAATGCCAAAGGAGAGGTTGGCATCTGACCTAAGATTTCTCTTATGAATTATGGAAATTTCAGTTGTTGGGTTCTCCTGTTATGATAAATCTTTCTGCCAAAAGCCACCTGAGCCCCACCGCCACATGTGAGCTTTACGCCAGCTGTCTGCCCGAGTTAGGGCCCAAATGAATACACAGAGACTTGTATTAGATACAGTGCTGCTTGGCCAATTACTAGGACTTCTCATCTGCCAGCTCAGTCTTAATTATCATAAATCTATATATATTATAAGACTGATCTTTTTGGACGCCCTATTGGCGTCCCTCCTTGCCAGTGGCTCACATCCTGCCGCTGGAGGATGTGAATGGGAAAAGGGGACCCTTCCTGTTTCTCCTTCGCTTAAATATGAGTCTCCTTGCTATGTCACTTCCTGCCTGGATCATCACTTCTCTACTACATTTCCCAGAATCCTCTTTGACTCCTAGTCCCGTCTAACTCTCTGTCTCATTATTTTATTTAACAATCAATAAGATAAACATATACAGTACATTCCCCATCATTCTCCTGAGAACTTGATGAGTTAAGACATGAGCTGTGTTGAATTCTGAGGTGTGGAGTGTTCTTCATAAATGCTTGCTGTGCGCATTTTGTCATTGCCTTGTTGACAATCTTACCTATCCTAGAGTTTGAAAATGTAATGATTCTACTCATTGTCATTTGGTAAGAGCAGCTGCCCTGTGGCAAGCTATAGTATTATACTGCCACAGGAGAGCAGGTTTTATTCCAGCCCCAATACTAGCCATGGCTTCTTGGTGTTTCCTTAGTAAGAGTCAATTTTATGTTGGAGTGGAGTAGGTAAGAAAGGGGGTTGGGAATGCATTTCCTTATTGAGTAGCTCTTTACTGATAACTATGGATTGGTAGGTGCAGCAGGCTGAAACCTGAGGCCTTTCATCTCAGGTTGGCGTGGCATGAAGTAGAACATTCTATTGGAAAAGTGGCTCCTGAGATTGCTATGCCTCTCAAAATAGCTGCTCCCTGTAGCCTGTACTTCTTTGCCTGGTTGTTTTTGAAGTGTTTACCCTGCTCTCTCTAACTAAAATTGCTGGCTGATTTGATTTCATCTGGACTTTCTATTATGCTGCAGTGATTAATCACTTGAGCTTTGCCAAAGTCAATCAGTTTCCAAGTCCCACTTGTCCTTTCTATGTCCACTGAATAAACATGCTCTCCTGGAGTCAGTGCTTGATTACTCTCCAATCCTTGTCAATGATGCACCTGCAACCTTGAGTAGAACATCAAGACAATGGGAGATTTTTTAAATTAATTTTTGTCATTCACTATCCTCTATGTTTCGGATTTGAGGGAGGGGCTATATGGGCACTAGATTGGGGTTGATAACACTTAGAGAAAAAAGAGCCCAAGAGAAGATGATAGACTATTGGTTAATTGTTCTCTTGCTACATTTGATCTATCTTCCTGCCACTGAGGCCAAGATAGCAAGCCAGATCATATCTGCCTCTCTGCCAGGACAGTCAAAGGAGGAAGGGCTAATACAGAGAAGGGAGGGGGAAGCCTTTGACTTGCCTCCCATCCCCTGCTTCTTCAAACTACCCAGTGTGTGTGTGTGTGTGTGTGTGTGTGTGCGCGCGCGCGCGTGCGCGCGCGCTCGCATGTGCACGCTACTTTCTAGCTGTGGAAATTTAGTTGTTGAGAGAAATGGCACCTGTATAAAGTCACATAACTAGGAAGGCACAAAGCCAGGTCTACCTCCTCGAACATCTGTATTCTTAGCCTTTTCTTAACAATGCGCCCTGACCCAACTGTTTTCTTTACTTGTATAGCTCAGTAGGTTTTAGTATACATAGGAAGTGTATAGGTACCACTGTGGTTTAAAAGGTTTCATCTCTCTTTTTTTTTCCGAGATAGGGTTTCTCTGTGTAGCTTTGGAGCCTATCCTGGCATTCGCTCTGGAGACCAGGCTGGCCTCGAACTCACAGAGATCTGCCTGCCTCTGCCTCCCAAGTGCTGGGATTAAAGGTGTGCACCACCAACCCTAGGTTTCATCTCTTAACAACGACACTGGATTCTTTTCTAATGCATCACCTTTTAAGCCTAACATCCTCACTCTCATCCTAGCCCCAGTCATGGCAGCCACTGGCTTATCTATGTCTATGACTGGCTTATCTATGTCTATGGATTTTATATCTATAAGAACTTATTTTATGTCTAATTACAAGTATCTGTTTGTGTCTGTGCACTTGTGTGGGGATGCCCAGAGAGGCCAAGAAGGGTGCCAGATCCCCTGGAACTAGAGTGGATAGTTTGTGACTTGCCAGATGTAGGTACTCAGAGGCAAATTCTGATCCTTTGTGAGAGCAGTATACATTTTTACTGAGCCATCTCTCCAGCCCCTAGTTTAAATTTATTTTAAATAAGTGAAACCATACAATATGAGCCTTTTTAAAAGTAGCTTCTTTCAATTGGCCTGTTTTCAGGTTTTTTTTTTTTTTTTCATGTTGTATCATGTACCCGTCCCTCACTTCCTTTTGTCACCAGCTGTATCCCATGGTCTGGATTTACCACATTTTATTTGTTCATTCATTCAAAAGTTAATGCAAATTGGCTGCTTCTACATCTGGAATATGAATAGTGGTCCTGTGAACATTTACACAGAGTTGTGTGGATGCATGCTTGGTTTAAATGTACCAGGGAGCAGAATTTCTGGAACTCTGTATTAATGTTTTGAGGGACTGCCAGACTCTTCTGAAATTGTTGTGCCATTTCTATTCCTCCAAGAATATATACAGTTTTCAGTTTCTCTGTAGCCTAGTGATTAACTCTCTTTATTCTAGCCCTACTGTGTGTGAAGTTACGTCTCCTTGCGGTCTTGATGTGTGTTTTCCCTTTGTTTGATGATGACTCCTTTTTCTTGTTGGGAGGGTGTTCTGAAAATGTCCTCAGATCCTTGGCTCACTTTTAAAACTAGAATTTACACCATATTATCAGTTTGCAAGATAATATCAGGTTGCAAGTGCTTTTTGCCTTCTTAATTCAAATCTTTTGTTACATAAAGCCTGCAACATTTTTTCTCATGTTCTATGGTTGGCTTTTCAGGTTCCTGTGGTGTCGTGTTAGCCCCTTAGAGATGCTATGATAGAATAAGCTAGAAAACTTGTTGAGAACCTTATTCCTTGCAGTGTGGAGACTGGGAGCTCAAAATCAAAGCATCCACACATCTAGTGTCTGGTGATCTTCTTCCAAGATGACTTTCTTGTTACTATAACCCCACATACATTAAATTGTAAGTTACGGGGATGGAGAAATTAAGAGCACTTGCTGCTTTTTTTAGAGGTCTTGAGTTCTGTTCCAAATACCCATGTCAGGTGGTTGTGAACCCCAGATCCAGGATGTCTGACACCCTCTTCTGGCCTCTACAGGCATCTGCACTCATGTGACATATGCTTGCACACACACATATTCATAAATACAAATAAAAATTTAAAACAAAGGTAAGTTTTGTGAAAGAGGAGGTATTATTATGTTTACAAATTATTCATAGTACTTGGAGCAGAGAATGGAATCAATATATATTTTTATTTGAACAGAATGAAACTTAATATACAATAGGCAATATTCTTTTAATGAAAAAAAAAACTGGAAATCCTAAATGTCACAAACAACGGAAGCATAGACACATGTATATAAGAAAGTATACATTATGTGAATTTTGACAATGTAAAATTAACTATCTGATGACCTGAAACCAAACCATGAGTAGCCATGAAGGGAGGAAGGAGACTAGAAGATGAAGCTGCTAAATCCCCTACTGTCTAAGAGGAGTGGCAGGAGGCTCTGTCCAGAGTAATAGAGTGCGAGATGGAAGGTTGGCAGTACCATTTACATCTCTATAGAAGTGTCTCAGAGAACAGTAAAAATCAAAATACATCTGGCAGTTACTAAGCCTTGAGTACAAGTGAGCCAAGAGTCTTATTTTTCTAAGGGAACACAATACATTCATACTTCGGGGTTGATACATAAAAATTAAGGAGATGGCAAATTGTTAGTGTAGGGGTTTGTGTCATAGAAAACTTTTAAGCTGTTCCTCTGTAGTATGTCATGGAAATTGACCTTTCTTTTAAAAATACCCTTTAGAACTAAAATGAGTTTGCACTGTCACATGTCCATGCTCTAAAATGCTAATTTAAAACTAGGTTTCTCTAAGACAAAGAATACAATTTTAGGGCAGAAAAGAATAATTGAACAGTTTGCAAGTACATACTGCCTGCCAGTGAGGACCATCCAACATTTTGCAAACATTATCTGATGGTGAGTGTCAGAGTCTACATTCACCAGATGGAGAGAACCAGACAAAGACGGAAGCGACTCGCCCATTTTCAGTGCGTCTGCAACCAAGCCAGGGAGAAAACCCAGACTTCCTGGATTCTGCATCCAAAGATGCATTTGAATGAATTTCTCCTTAGAAAAACCACATATTGGCATGATGATAGTTAAGGAAGAAATTCAAATTAATATGGCACACTGTGTTTACAATTTGGAGAATTCCAGTATTTTTCCATCCAACAATCTGGAGCCAAAATGCACATTGCCTGTCAAGACAGGGGCCAGTATGTCTCTGAAGCACCTGAGGGGGCTATCCATCAGCGGAGGAGTGACACCTGAAAGACAAAAGATGACAGCCAACCGAAACAGCCACCATTAATTTTAATACTCTTAATACAAGTCCTACATCTTGCTGTCTGTGTAAATGCTGCTGTGACTTTGTAGCTGTGTAAGAAACAACCTATGGTTAATAAGCTTGATAAACAATTCTGATCATTTTTGCTATATGTCTCTTTTTAATTCAGACTATTAACACAGGTAGAAAGAAGGAAAGGCATATTTGCCTGATCTGCTGTGATTTTGTTCATCAGTTTCATTTCTAATTTGCTTAGCTTCCAGGAAGACCGGAAGGAACAGAAGTCATCAAGTGATCCTCCTGTTTGATCAATAGCCTCCTCCTCCTTCCATCCCTGCTTTCCAAAACCCACACAAAGACTCCGAGAACAAGTCTATGCTAGACAGTACTGACTCAAATGGTCAAAGTTAGTGCTGGAGCAAAGCATGGTCACTCAATGGAAAGTGAGCATTGGACCAACGCTGCTTCATGGCTTTCAGGAGAATTTGGGAGAGAATTCTGAGTGCACAGACTCTGTCTAATTGGTGTCTTGAGTAAAAAAGAGGCAGATGGAGAACTCATTAATGGCCACACTTTTAGTGTGTGGACTGAGAAATAGAAATGACAATGACAAAGACAACAGATTAGAGGAGCAGATGTGAAGAGAACAGGGTGAATTAATCGTGTGTGTGTGTGTGTGTGTGTGTGTGTGTGTGTGTGTGTGTGTGTGTGTTTCAATGGGCAGTGGTTCATATATGTATGAGGATGTTCATGCATGTGGAGCCAGAGTTCAAGGTTGGGTGTCTTTCTCGATCATTTTCCACCATACTAAGGCAGAGTCTTTTACATGAACCCAGAGCTTTCTAGATCAGCTATTCTAGCTAACTGGCTTGTTCCAGGGATCTCCTGTCTCCACCTCCTGAACAATGGGATTACAAATAGTTACTTACCCAGCTTTTATGTGGGTGCTGGGGATTTGAACTCTGACCCTCATGCTTGCACAGCAACCACTTTACCCACTGGACCATCTCCCCAGTTTCTACCCATAGTTTTTATTGTGACAAAATATATCTAGCATGACATTTACCATGTTAGCCATTTGGGTTATATAATTTGGTGAATTAATTTACATACACATAGTTGTGTAGTCATCACCTCTGTGCATCTCTAGACCTTGTGGGGTATATAATTTGATGAATTAATTTATATACACATAGGTGTGTAACCATCACCTCTGTGCATCTCTAGACCTTGGTTTCAAAACTTAGATGCATGAAACAGTGGCTCTCTACCTCTCAGCTCCTAATCCCTGGGTAACTACTAGTCTCTGGATTTTACTAATGTGGGAATTAATCATTCTTACCAGATGACTGCTGGGAGTTATGTTTGTTGTTTCCCAGATCCAAAACCACATTGCAGTACGTGCTCTGCATAATGGATAAGGCTCCATTAAGCGTCCTTCCTTCAGAGTGTAAGCCACAGGGAGCTTTCCCATTAGAAGGCACTGGAGGGATAATACAAAGAAAGGGGCTCTCCTGTTTCTAGCGTCAGCAGTGTGCCTCTGTCTCCGTTTCTGTGTCTCTGTCTCTCTGTCATCACTCCCCCCCCAATGTGTGTGAGTTCACTTGTAAGTTTGTTGCCTACTGCTGCCTATATGTCTGAGATCTGTCAGGCCTTTTAATTCTTCAGCTGGCAGAGAGAATGGACCTGATCAAGATCCTAGATAGTAGCAGTTTCATCATCACTGCAGAGATACTCTGAGAGGATCTCTCCACCCATCCTCTTTCATCTAGAAGTGCAAAGCTGGAAAAGACATGTCCTTTAGAAAGAGCAGCAGCTCCATCCCTTTCAGCTCTGCCATAGAGAGCGGTGATTAAATTGGGTTCAAATCAATCAGAATGGATGGTGAAACAAGAGTGGATGCTGGGACCAGTCAGAAGAGAGGCTGAAGGAAACAACAGAGACACTGGCTAGCCACAGTGGTCCATCTGTGACGGTTCCAGCAGATGCCAGCTCTGTAGCTGTGGGAGCCCAGATTTGAGATATTAGGAAGGACTGTGGCAGAGTCCCTGCTGCTCTGACTTCAGTCAAATCTTCCCAGCTCATTGATGGCCTATAAAGAGAATGAAATAACTGGCAAGCAGCTAGGAAAATTTCTAGAATATTTCCAGTGATGCCTACTCCTTTGCTAGCCTTACCTATTTCTATATAGCAATACAGTTTTTTTTAGGCTACCAGGCCAAAGAAGTGAGTCACTAATTTCCCATTTTACTCCAACAGTCCCCATTTGCATTACTAGAAAATCCTGGCCACTCCACTTTCAGGGTATGTCCACAATCTAACCACTTTCATGGCACAGCCATCATCACCTCTTGCTTAGATTCTGCCATCAGTTCCTCACTGGTGTCTTATGCCTTTATGGTCCATTCTCAGATTGACAGAGGGGGGATCCAGTGGAACAGAAATCTGGTTTTGAGACTCCTCTTTTAGACATTCACCAATGGTTTTTCATCTCAGCAAAAGCCAAAGGACATATATTAGCCTTCAAGACCTTATACTAGCAAGATGATGAATTTAGTCTCTTCTTGCCTCTGAGCCTTTTCACAGGCTGGTCCTCTTGCAGAGTCTATTAACTCTCAACCTAGTCAACGCCTATTCATTCTCTTGGTCTCATGATGATTATTTCCTCAGGAAAGCCTGCCTCAAATCCTCATGTTCAGGCTCTCCAATAGCCGATGCTCTTTTTTAAAAGACACAAACAGTACAGGTTATCATTCCATGTTTATGTAACTACTAGTTTCATGCCTCTTTTTCCCTGTGTACTGTATACTCAATGAGACTGCAAGCACCCAACAGATCATTTGGCGCAGTCTGGCCTCAGGTTCAAGCAAGCCCTTTGTAGAGAGACTTGTGTCAAACAGGAAGCAGCATGAAGAAAAGCCTTCCGCGCGATGTGTCAAGCCTTCCAGGAAAGACTTAGCTATGAAGATATTTTTATTCCTTTCTAAACCCACAAGGTCTATAAAGCACTGCCTCCCGGGAATGGTCGGCAGCCCCGTTAGCAGAATACAGCTGAGAAGGTATTTACATTCTATCGGGAGTCTTGAAGGAGGGAGACTCGTCTCAATCCTGCACCATAATGATTTATGCAGTCGGGAACTGCGGCAGCCAGCGGCAATTAGGAGAAGAGATGGGTGCAGCAAGGGCAAGAGAAACGGTGCTGATGAGGTCTAGATAGTAGATTAGTCTTCTACCTCTGAGAATAATTAGCATAAATGGTGAACTAAAAGAAGGCTCACTTGTTGCCACAGGCTCTCAGAAGACTAGTTGTGTGCGACTAGATGAGCTGGGTCCTCTGCTTGGGGGTCTCCCAAGCTGCAATAAATGCCGTGGCTGTGTTGCCAAGGGAGGGACCTCTTCTAAGTTTTTTCCGCAGTTGGCAGAATTCAGTTCCTGTGGTAGAGAAGGTTCCTATGGTCTTGCTTGCTGCTAGCCTGGTGTCACAGTCAGCTCCCAAGGCTACTAGAGTTCCTTTGGTCGTGTTCTCAGAGGTGTGTGCAGCGTTGGTGTACACTGTATACACCAGTGAGAGGCGCCCCTCAGATTCTATTTCCTGAGTCAATAAAACCAAACTCACTGCTCTTAAGAGCTCCCCCGAGGCAGGATGCCCCTGGGTTGACCTTCCCTTTTCTAGAGAATGTAGCATCATCATGAGAATGACAGTGTGCCGTATTCCAAGGTTCCACTCACATTCAAGGACACTGTGGAGGGTCTGGGCAGACAGAGTGCTGAGGCTATGTGAGCATCTTGCCTACCAAGGGATTCCCAGTCCTAACAAGGGAGTGCTTTTTTACTGCTCCCACTAAGTGCTTTTCAGCAAATAACCTTGAGAATCCTCACAATAAATGGTATTGTTTCCCTAGTTTCATAGACCAGGGATTTAGAGGCCAAGTAGCTTCTTACATGATCAGTAAAATGAACACCTGAGATTTTGAACTCTAGTTTTTGTGAATCCAGACCTCAGTCAAACCCATTTTACCTCCTCAAAAGTGTCTCCCTGGCACTGGCAGAGCTGTGATCATCATGGTTGATGGATGTAAACACTGGCTTGGGATGATTAAGTAACATGTTCAAGACCACCCAGTTAGTGAGAGGCAGAGCAGCCTACAGTCTAATCTTCTCCTTCTCTGACACATGCTGTAGGCTCGCCATGCCGTCAGGGATACTCTCCCCAGTTGCTTGCCAGCTAGAATAAAACATAGTAACAAATTTTCACCCTGTCACTGGGGGAAACAGCATATCTCCTGGCTGTAAGTCTTGGCCGAATGACATACTATATGTAAGCAGCCCTGTGTCAGTTAACCTGTAGTGAATGAAAAGTAGTCGCTTTTATTCTCAGGCTGAGGAAGGGGTCTGAACTATGGGTACCTGACCTTCCCTCCATCTAAAGTACTTTATGATACTTGGTACCTCAGAAAGGTATCCTCCCTCGGAGATAGATCAATGATTCATACACACAGCCTGTGCATCCGTACCTTTAAATGAAGGTGTTCCAGGCTCCAAGGTAGTAGCAAATCAGGGACGAGGGCATGTTTGCTTTACACTAGCTGCATTTTCTATACTTCTTGCAAGGAGACAGAACATCTTTCGGCCAAGCCTGTAAACAAACACTGTCATCAGGTATAAATGTCATCATTTTGTCCCACTTTGGGCCTTAGCACCCAAAGTCAGCTTAATTGTCCTGATGCTGGTACCTACCTGCTTTCTCCTATTTCTTTTCACCGCCTGCAACTGCCAGTGACACAGCCTGGAAAGGCAGGGTGGTCTCCAAGATCCAGTGCCCCTCCTCCCTGTCCTGCAACTATGCTCCAGGCAGATGGCAGCAATTGAATGTTGCTAGAGATTTTTCATTTCATTTGCATGCCCCACCACGTGGCAGTTTGGATTATAACTGCTGTCTTCTGTAAACACCACATCCCCTGATGGGCAGCTCCTCAGGCATAATGGCAGCCGGCCCCCAGTCATCCAGGCCAACCATTTCATCCTGCTGTCCCTTCAGGAGCAGGGACAGTTATAAGCCCTGGAAGCTTCACCAGTCCTAGATTGTTGCCTCAGCCAGCCCGCACCTGAGCTCTGCCAAAAAACATTCTTAGATCAGGAACCCCAACTGATAATCACTCTAAGTCCCTAATGTAATTACTGATTTAAGCAATGAGCTTCAGAGCAGTGTGAAAGCATTAGGAAACTGTTGCTGAGGAACTGAGCGTTTGTATATTGCCTGTTCTGTGTTTGCGAATTTCAGGAAGCAAGAAGGAAAAGTCATCTTTGGCTAAGTGGTCAATAAAACCATGGCCGTGAAAGGGGTTAGCCAGAGAAAGGCCTTCGAAGAACCTGGAGGGAACGTTGGTTAGAGGCTGAGGAGTCAAGAGACCTGGGGAGGCAAAAAAGGCAGAAGAAGGTGCTCCAGACAAATGGTCCTTGAGTCACATCAACCCTGCAGAGGGGATGGGCAGAATAAAAGCAGAGTCTGCTAATGGTAGTATGAAGAGCAGAGAGAGGGCTCCGTATAGGGAGAAGCTAGAGGACGCTGGTCAAAGTGGTCTATAGGGGAATTCAGTGAACGTATGTATGTATGTATGTATGTATGTATGTATGTATGTATGTATATGATCTAGGATTTTTCCCAAATTCTATCTCTTTAAGATTAAAAAGCCATCCAGGAGAGCTGGACCAAGGAACCTCACTCTGTCCTCATTCTTCTCAGCCCAGGCCTGGTGACAATTCCCTTCTAAGCAGCTCTTAGAACACAGGAAGAAGGCTGACAAAAGAATCTTTTGGAAATGGAGAAGAGTTACAAGCACCTTGAAGAGAAAGGACAGCAATGGGAAAGATCGGATCAAGAAGAAAAGGATCATTTATGGTCCAGAATTCAGGAATCCACGGAGGTGAAAAGTGAAGAGCACAAGAGACCTCTGTATCGGTGGGGCTGGGACAGGCCCACACAAGACGGTACAGGCCGGGCAATCAGAGGAAGGCACCAGAGTCTAAGGGTTGACAGCTGTGAACACACTTTGAAAGCAGGTGTCCTGAGGGACTGGGGTTCCTTTGAGGATCGGTGTAGAAGTACATTAGCAGCCACTAAGCCATGTGGCTTCACACTTTAGTAGAGGAGCGGCCTGCCAGTTTGAGGTAATGAGAAGGGTGTGCAAAGACCCGCCATCTCTCCATGGCTCTCCCTAATAATGAGATGTATGATGAGGAGAATAGACAATTGAGGTTAGAGGTCAGCAGAGCTGCAGTCCATTCCTATTGTCACAAACACCCCTGATTGTCAGTGTGACTTGCTTCAGCCAATGTTGGCCAAATAGCCCCGGGACGAAAGGGGTACCTTCCCCAATATAAACACTTCATCAGAGGAGCATCTCTTTAGAAAAGGGGCCTGCAATACCCTGGGACTGGGACTGGGCCTGCAATGAGAAGACATGGTTTTCTGTGTGCAGAAACAGAGAACTTCTTTCCTTTAAAAAAAAAAAAATTAACCCAGGTGGAAGAACTATGGAACAATGTTGATTGTGATCATTCTTTTGTCTGTGTGTCACATTTTCTCTTATCTAGTCACTGAACTATGACATCCCAATGTCTTCTAGCTGTTTCTGACCCACAGAGTCCTATCTCTGTGCTAATGACTAACTAGCAAACTGCCCCTGGTGTCAGCAATAATCAGTGTGCCCACAGCATTACAAACCAGGGCTTCAAGGAAACCACAGATAGTTCCCAGCTGATCCAGCTGCTGCTGAGGCTGGAGCACCTCCAAGTGTAATCATCAAAAATCAGCATCCCCCAGGCTTTTGCTCGATGCACCAGGCTCCGAGAGACAAGCACGTTGGCCAGGCTCTTGTGTGTATTTCTGGATTCTTCTGGGCTTATTCTGGGGTACCTTGCAATAGAGGAGTTATATGCCCTGTTTCCTCCACACCTGTTAACTCCGGTGCTGGGTACAAATGTCTACTCTTCGATTTAGCCCAGTGATGAAAACGGGAAGGAAATTCAATGAAAAGCTTTTCTTTTTTAATTACAGTTCAGTGGAGATGGGGGAGGAAAAGGAACTCAGGAGTTCCAGAGCTAAATCAAACAGGAACGTTTTAATGAGACTGTCCCCACGAGGAAATGAGTCAGTGGTTTGGGAAGAGGTGAGGCCCATGGAGAGGGAGGCAGCCCAGGGCTTCTGTCCAGGAGGAGCAGGGATTTCTTTTTGGTTCCCAGGATGGAGCATCCAGTTTTCAATCTTCTTCCTTGGAGATGTGGGGGAGAGGACCCGTGAGGGGCACAGATCTAGTGGTAGCTAAGCTCACTAAGACCATGTGATTATGTGTCCGTTTAGAGAAAAGGGTCAGAAGGTTCTGGAATTATGCCTGCCAAAAGGGATAGTTCTACCTGTGCCCAGAACAAAGAAGGAGAAAGAGAATGTTCTTCCCAAAATGAAAACACTTCAAAAAATGAGTCAAGGAAAATAAAAACAATACTATTAAAGAACTAAGGTTCAGTGTTTCTTGTGAGCATGTTATAGACTGGCTATATACAGCAGCTAGGGTTTGTGCTGATATAAAAATCAAGGCATGGTGGTTGACAATATTTTGTTGTTTCTGTTTCTGTGAACAAGATACAAAATCATGATACAAAACTATAGTCACAAATTAACATTAATTTGTTAAAAATGGAAGCCTTAACACGTGGTTGAAAGTACCCTGGGAAATATCAGATGAAAGGACACTTCTTTGAAGGTGGTGTGCCCAGGGAGGGGTGATGAACAAAATTTTACTAACCACGGGCTCTTTTCCCTTTTGGGAACCATTGGGTGGGACAGAAGACAGAGTAAGAGCCGGGAGGGAGAAGCTGAAGCCCCTCCAATGGGTTCAGGTGGGTTTGATAGGCACTAGTGCCAGGGAACTGGAGTTGAACAATGACCAAGTCCCAGGTAAATGACAGTTGAAGCCTGTCAATAGCAAGTTCACTGATGGCTGTGGGCTGGTGTGCTTTGGGAACTTAGCACAGCATCCGACACAGATGTCGCATGCATAAGTCACTTGCATTCCTTCCTCTATCTCATCTCAGGCAATGTTTGGAAAGATGCTGTAGCTTTGAAAAGAGCCCAGGCATTGAAATACTTGCAATTTCTCAGACAGTGAAGATTGAGACACATGTGTGACCCATCTTCTCTTACTCAGGTAAGTGGACAGCAAGAACATAGGGCCAGCCTGGCTGACTGCTGCTGGGGTGGGGGAGGAGGAGGATGGGGGCTACACACGAGGGGGACCTTTCCTTGTAGGTCTGGGGTCTATAAATACCCTGGAAGAGAAGGTAGTCCATAGTTGAACCTCAAAGAACCAAAAGCCTACAACCTTGAGGAATAGAAAAACTCGAAGGCAATGAGAGGGAAAGCAAGTGGAGTGTGGAGCCCAAGAGTGTTTGGCCTGACTTGATGGCTGGCCTTGGCAGAAGGTGAGTGGGCAGTTCAATTACAGCAGATCCCCAGGAATTTGTCACCCTCCTTGATCCAGTGGGAGGCCCCGTCCCTCTAGAAAGTCAAAGACTGCTTTACAATCCTCTCACCAAAGCGTTCCTGCAAGGGCTAGCCTTAGAATCCTGTCATTTCCACCCAAACCTTTCCCTCTCCGTGCTGCCATTCTCGGCAATTTGCTGCCCCCTCCCCCACTCCCAGAGGCTGCCGTCTTTCTCATTTCATACACAATTTGCTCTAGTAACTCTGAACTGGATACATAGTTCCATGCTTTGCTGCTGTCTTATCCCGTGCAAGCATCACCTAGCCAGCCAGGCTTGCAGCGGGCCTCAATGGGAACAGCCCGAGTTCCTCATGCAGTTACCAAGGCTGATCAGTGGCTTGTGTCATTCAAAACGCGCTCCCATCCTGGAGCTCTTATTTTCTCATTCAAACTAAGCCATGGACTAAGTTTGGTTCACAGGAAAAAGTCAAGGCAGTTCAAATTAATGTCCATTGGGTATCAACCATGTCTCAAGCACATTTTGAAGTGTGTATTAACCTATAGGGACTATTTGAGACTGCCATAGTCTCAAATGAGACTATGAGAGAGCAATGCAAATGACTCTCCATTCTTGTACTCATTAAAAAAAAAATTCTGTATTAAGTATCTACCATACACCATGCACCTTTCAATACTCAGGGGATACAGCAAAAAGCAAGGTTGGGAGCTTTGAACTAATTCTAAGCCCTGGCTCAGGTATGATTGGTCTTGAGCTAGTCTGGTATACTGTCTGGTCCCCAGACTTCTTATTTTAAGAATGTAAATTATAATAACAATCACATTAATACTGTTTAAGAGTTCTTGGGAAGTCCAGAGGCAGTTGAGATTGGTACTGAATGTTTTTGTTGGTTGTTTCTTTTCTTTTCTTTTCTTTTCTTTCTTTCTTTCTTTTTTCTTTTTCTTTTTCTTTTTTTTTTGGTTTTTTGAGACAGGGTTTCTCTGTGTAGCTTTGGAGCCTATCCTGGCACTTGCTCTGGAGACCAGGCTGGCCTCGAACTCACAGAAATCCACCTGCCTCTGCCTCCCGAGGCAGGGATTAATCCCTCTGCTGGGATTAAAGGTGTACGCCACCAACGCTTGGCTGTTGGTTGTTTCTTTAAGGCACTGTTCGTCATGAATGGTAGCTAGATATACAAGTACCCAGGTAAAAAAGAGAATTATGTTCTCCCATGCATTATCCAGTATCTGGGTGTGGCAGAAGGACTGCAGCATCCCAGACTGGGATTACTTGGGAACAGCTTCTTCAAGAGTCCGAGAGTTTCATTTTGCCCTTTTAAAGCTATGTTTGACAATACCTCATGTATACAATATGCACATATACAATACAGCTACATGATGAGTTTATTATTAATATAGTCTTGTGGTCTCACAAGCTGACCTATTCTAAACCATCTGAACATGCAGTTTATACTCTGGGGACCACATGATTCCAGCTTTCCTTCTTGCTTTGTGGGCCCATTAATGCTAAGTAAAGCTACTTTACTCATCAGGATAATGCAAACAGAGATGGACTTGACATATAAATGTGTTTTCATCTGCTGAAAGCTTAAAAAACAGCAGGGTGCATTTTATACAAGTTAAGGTTTGGAAGGAGTTTGAACACAGAAAAGTTGAGAAGCAGGAGAAAGGACCGGTGCCAGGACTGTGGTTTCATTTTAGTAAAATATTATGCCACATTCTAGTAACACTTGTATCTTTAAGTTTACTAATTTTATGACTTTGATATTTAAGGCATGGATTTCTTAGTCTTATATAAGCTCTAAGATAATATGAGTTAAAACCTTTTTGTTGTTGTTGTTTTACAGTTGCAAGAATTGCTTTATTGAGTAACATTTTTAGATACACAAGAATCAGGAACATCAGACAGTGTGATGGGACTGGATATACGCCACAACACAGAAAACAATAAATACGGAATACTGCCTTTGCAGAGACACCTCACTGTGGCACATGCACATTTACCAAATGGGAAAATACTCAAAACTGGGTTTGGTTGTATGGAGGAACTGCAGTTTACATCTCCATTTATTCAGTGTGGTGGAGACTGTGTCAGCATAGGGGTTATGCTGAGAAGGGCAGCCTTACTGGGTAGGCACATGACAGTACATCAGGAAACAGTACTGAGGGAGTCACAGTCTCATCAGCACATCCTCAGGTGTCTTGCTTCCATCTGGCAGCTGGATGGCCTTTCTGACCACAATGCCTTCTGTTTCACAGAAGGGGAAACTCTCACAAGGGCGTTTCCTTCTTGGAGTTGAAGCTGGGATCAGAGCCCTCAATTTGGAGCTTCAGGGCTTGTTTAAGGTTCAGCTCAGTCTCTGAGGGAGGGAACCCCTCCAGCACCTCCTGATGCCCTCGCTCCTGCACTGTTCGAGAGACAGAGACCCTGCCCAGGAACACCTGGTTGATCTGCAGATGGTAATTGGGTTCCTCATTATCCCATTCCTCTTCTGCTCCCCATGCTGCTGGTAGATGAGAAACTGTAGCTAGATGCGGCTGCCGACCTGAGATGAAGGAACCACAGCATTACACTGAGATTCACCCAGTGTCTGTTTAGGTGGGCTACTCCCAGACTTAGCAACAGGTCCTCTTTTGTCAAACTGAGTCATTTCATATTCTAGAACCTTTCGCTGTGAAGAATTGTTTTGTTTAGCTTTCTTCCCAGCTGACAGGGACTTGCTAGAGTTTTCTGATTTGCCTCCTTTATTTGATTTTGTTGACTTCAAACTTGGTTTTAATTGGCTCCATCCAAACTCACTACTGGGAGAATTATGGGTATGTCCTAAGGACTGGGTTATGGAAGAGGGGGGCAGGACTGACTGACTGCTCCTGCTTTGCGGCAGCGAGTGCTGTTGGATCTGTTCCGTGAATGGCAGGCTGTGGAAGCTGTCAATGGGCACCCTTTGAGCTGTGGCTGTGGAGGAAGTTGTTCTCAGAGGTGAATTTTTGGAGCTTTTCAGGGAATTGTTGGACAGAGATGACTTCTGCTGATCCACAGTTGAGTCTGGAGACTCTGACAGAGAGCTGAAGGCATGAGCTGGGCCATTGGGCAGGCCCCGGAGGGAAGACTGCAAGTCCCCTCCACAAGTACCCCCAGAGCTGTTAGACCTGATGGTTAGTGACTGCATCTTGGACGGTGCTGACGGTGGAGGCTTCTGCTCCATTGTGTGGGCAGGGGAAGGGGAGCAGCCATTATAATATGTAAATTTAAATAACATTAATGAAAAGACTGCAAGTCCAACATAGTGGTCCACTAAATTGTTAAATGCTGTCGTGTGTTCTGATTTAGGAAAGGCTGCTGGCAACTCCCCTGGTGTAGAAGGAGGACACCCTGGCTGGAAAGGTCACTTTTCTGGATGAGGATATGTGGCCTCAGATTCCTGGGAACATTCCAGAAATGAGGTTCTGCTAGAAGAGAGGGTACAAAGGAGCATATATTTCTGAGAATGTACCCTCTTTCTCCAATTTTTTCTCAGCTGAACTTCATGACTCTCAGGAGTGTACCCTGCATGCAGGGGTACAGTTATAAACAGAATGCATGCAGTCCCTGACCCCTCCCGCCAAAGAGTTCGCAGTGGAGTGCTGCTGTATTTAAATTCCCAACTTCCTAGTCTTCTCCTTTCCCACAGGCTCAAGTCTCCAGAGGCATTACCAAATTCCACCCTATTTTTCAAATAAGCACATTTCTTTTGATTTATTTAACGTGTACCTAGAAGGGGAGACATTCTGGTTGAGCCCAGGGGACTTCCCCAACTGCTGTCTCCATGCTGGTCTGATTCTAGGCCAGGTACTACACAAAGCAAGGGCTCTGCAACTAGGAAGACAGCATGAGGTGGTTTGAATGAGGATGTGCCCCACTGGCTCATATTCACATACTTAGTTCCCAGCTGACTGAACTGTTTGGGAAGGCTTAGGGGGTGTGGTCTTGTTGGAGAAGGTGTGCCACTGGGGGAGAATTTTGAGGTTTCAAAAGACTCAGGCCATTCTCAATGTGCTTTCTCTGCCTCCTTCTTGTGATCAAGATGTGAGCCCTTGGCTGTTCCTGCTATCATGTTTTTGTTCCGTCATCATGTGCTCTAAGCCTTTGAAACTGTTAACCCAATTCAATGCTTTTGTAAGTTGAATTGGTTATGGTGTTTTCTCATAGCAATAGAGAAGTGGCTCAGAAGCAGAGCCACTGAAGCCAGATCTTTAGAATCAAAACTTAAGGCAGGGGTGGTTTCATTTTGTTTTTCTTGGGGACACATAATTTATTTTTTCTTTTTTTTTATTTGAATTAGGAACAAGATTGTTTTACATGACAATCCCAGTTCCCTTCTCCCTCCTGTCCTCCCCCTACCACCCCCACAACTAAAACCCTACCTATCACATATCCTTTCTTCTATTCTTCCCCTGACTCAACCTTTCTGCTCCCTCATGTCCTCTGCATCCTTCCTCTTCTTCCCTTCTCATTCTCCTAGCTCCCTTCCCCCTCTTCCCGTGCTCTCAATATGCTCAGGGGATCTTGACCCTTTCCCCTTCTCCAGGGAACCAAATATGTCTCTCTAAGGGTCCTCCTTGTTTACTAGCTTCTCTGGAAGAGGGGACACATAATTTAACTTATAAAGAAGGATGGGGAGGAAAAAAGTGAAATGGACAGGTATAACAAGGACGTAGTCTCAGAAAAAGTCCATGGTTGAGAGAACTTGAGCACAAATAATGCCACAGACTTTCTGTTTCTATGCTCTTGTTCTCTCTCTCTCTCTCTCTCTCTCTCTCTTTCTCTCCCTCTCTCTTTCTGTAGCTATTGGTGTGGGAGTAGAAATTGTCATATCCAGAAAAGGAGAAGCCAAGAGCTAGTTATTCACCCACACTCAAGTTGGTCACCAAGCCAACCCACAACACAGAAGTTCAAGTGCGGGATTCACTTCCACAGGTTACAAGGTTAACAAGCTGTTAGTCAGATGACTACCCAAAGCATTCAAGAGTCACTGTCCCTCCTCCTTCCTGCACCACAGGAAGACACTCATGGCAGCCCACTCTAGTCAGAAGATCTATCTGATTCATCCTTCTTGATGGTAAGAAGGTAAATCCGTCTCTGGAAGCCAGTCATACCTTCCTCCCCTCCACCCACACCTTAGCTGTGTGGAGGGACCCAGCCCCCACCTAGTCTCCTGGTCACCCAGTCCTTTCCACTTTATTCGTCCCATGTAACCAGAGTTCTAGGCTAGAGGCCTGACTCCAGGGGCTCCAACATGTCAGTCCCAGCCTCTCACCTGGACGAAAACAAAACACAGTCGTAAAAGGCCAGAAAGAAGCAAATGGACACTTGAAGAAGCTGGATTTTAAGCATGTGGGCATCTCTTAGGGGTCCTGACTGAGCCTTAGGTTTAAACAGAGGAAGGACCAGAGCAGGAGCTGAGGGAGTGATTTGAAGCAGGCTTGGAGAAACTGGTCTGGTTGGTCACTAGCTCAGCGAGGCAGCCCTGGAGAAACCCTTCTTGTTCAAGGGACAATCCATTCCAATCAGGTAACTGTCTCTGCTGATAGCTGATCTCATCATGGGCTGATCTGTCTATGGGGTACTGGGAATCCAGAAGCCAGTGCTCCCAGAATCCATAGGGACAGTTATGTCAATGACCACAGGTTTTCAAGGCACCTCTCTGGCTTACTCTTATCTTTGTGCCTTCAATGTTAAAGAGGGTAGCAGCAGGTGAATCACCAGTTTCCAGGTAGACACTCCTTGAGGCATCAGCCTGACTGCATGCAAAGATAAGCAGCATCTATTTATCTGACTCTAAGTTTTAAAGGAGGCAGATACATGATGGTCAGAGATGCCGCCTCCCACCCTGCTTTTAGTTACCCTGTTGGCCCAGGTGAGGAGTCTGTGCTCTTTAGTAAAACCAGTTCCTTTGTATCTGCTATTATTGCCTGTCTGGAACTCAGCCTTCTTAATACCTCTGCTGCGGAGGACTGCTTCCCAACCGTGTCCCATGAAGCTGTAGCATTCCTGTATGGAAGAAAGAATGTGACTATAGCCAGAAGGGGTCACCTATCACCCTAAGCCCTAGAACTGTGACTGTCCCATCACATGGCAAATGTGAAGATGTGGCTGGCTGGGGTTAAAGACCTCAGGAAATAATCCCAGATTCTCGAGGGGACCCAGTCAAATCATGCAAGTCCTTAAAAGGCGGGAAACTTCCCTGGCTCTGTTTAAGGCAGCTGAGCCTGGAGAAAAAGGAGACAGATAGAATGTAAGTGGATTGGAGCCACCATTGATAGCTTTCCTGACACAGGAAGGAGCTGGCAGCCACAAGAAAGTGGAGACTTCTGTGCAACAAGGGTGAGGAAGTGAATTCTGCCAACAATCCAGATGACCGCCACTGAACCCAAGGGAAGGAACCCAGCACTGCTGATACCTGGTATTTGCTTGTGAGACCTGTGACAGCCTTCTGACCTATAGAACTAAGATTTTTGTTATTTAGCTGCTATATTTGTGGTCATTTGTCACAACGACAATGGGCAACCGATATAGGAGTTCTGGTCAAAACAGTTTGGAAGACGATGCTCTAGCCTGTCAATCATGCTGATCATATGGTCACAAGAGTCACGGAAGAACAAAGCTAGTAATAAAGCATGAAGGAGCAGATAACTTGTTCCCACCCAAGGGACAAGCTGAAGCTGCTGCAATTCATGATTCTGTGTCTGACCGCGTCACATGCTGTGTGCAAATAGAACTGCCGCAGACCCATGGCATCCAACTCCGTTGTCATAGTTACTCTAGAAAGAGAAAGATGCCCTGACAAAGACCAGATTGGCTGTTTTAAGTGGTGAGAAGGTACCCTAAGGGTGGCCAGATGCTTCTACATTCATGTCAGAGATGTTTTCTGAAATTAGCATTCTGTCAGTTCTGCCTCAAATGAAATCACAGTCATTAACGCTCAGAAAACAGCATGTCCGCACTAATGATGGACACCTTTTAAGGAGGACTTGTTCTTAAGTCTTAAGACCCAGGGAAATAAACATCAACAGCAGCAAAGCTTTGAAATGAATATCACCCCAAATTAACTGTTAATTACTGGCCACTTCTCACAGCTCATTTCCTATCCTTCTTTAATTTAATCCTTCCCTCTGTTCTCGCCACACTGGGATGGTTGCTATGCCTTGGACATGCCATCTTTATCTCTCAGCCTCGGAGCCCTTCCTCCAGACATTTGCATGTGTGCTCCGCTTCCTCCCTTTACTCTCTCTGCCACTGCCCCCCCTTCAGAAAGCTCTTCCCAGGGTACTTTGTTTAAAATAGATGCCTCCAGCCCCAAATGGTTAGCCTCTTTACAGTACTTACACATTTATTTCTTTACACAGTTTCATTTCCCTCCCATTAGAATGGACCCTGAATGGGGACCAAGACCCTGTCCTTTGCCCACTGCTGTATCTAT